TCTCTAAACGTAGTTAATTATAATATCTAAACTATTTCAAATTAATTAAAGGTCAGTAATGTACCAGTTACTGAGTTCATAGAACGTGTTGAAACAAGTGTTGTAGAAAGTAATAGAAATATTAGTATTGTTATCAGCCTATCTTTTTTCTTCTTTTATTCATATATTTACTTATTTCTTTTGCTATCTTAATTAAGGATTCGCTTGTAATTTCATCAATTAATAACAGTCAAGAGTCACCGCCAAATATTACCGAAAAAAATCCATCAGATGCATTAATGGATTATTAAAGCAAAATGCATATGAAACAGAAATGCCATTAGACAATATCCAATTGTTGAAATTGAATGGACTATTATAAACCGAATATATGCAGCAAATGTAAAAAACATGATAATTATTTTAGAAACTGTCCAGAAAACAAATGCAGAAAATGTTATGAATTGGGTCATATTTCGGTGGACTGTAAAAATGCAGAAAGAAGAACATGCAGCAAGTGCAAAAGTCATAGTATAATGAATGTAAAAAATGTCATGAAATGGGGCATATTAAAATAGAGCCAAAAAAAAAATAAAGAACATACTTATCATAATTGGTAGGTTGACTAAAAAAAGAATTTACTTAATTTTAAAGCAAATCTAATTACTAAAAATTTCACAGATTCTATTGATGAAACTGAAAAAAATAAGGTGCTTCTCTTAAAAAATAATTTTGAAATTATTCAAAAAAATCAGTTAATAATAAATGGAGATAAACTTTTTTCAAGGAACAAATCAATTGAAGTAACAATTAATTTTTCCCTTGCACCATTACCTTCTTATTCGACCGATATAAAATCACTGGAAAATTACTTTAAAGAATGGGGTTTACAATATAATCAACTTGAGTCTACAAAGGTGGATGTTGATGAGAAAATGCTAAAACTGTTATATGAACTTAGGAGGGCATACTTAACGTTGCTCATAATGCTAGCAGAAGAGTATGAACAAGATAAAAAAAGCTTCCACCTCACAAAACTTTGCGTGGGTTGGTGGGAGAAAAAGTCAGATCCATTTTAAAAATTAGTGAAAGACAAGAGCGAAAATATTGGAGAGGGACGTGGCGTCTGATAGAATTACTTAATCTAACACAATGTCTAGCTTTAATTACTATTTTAGAATGATGAATTTGCATTTTTATCTAATTGAAAAGTTCACAAATTTTCATAGAATTGTGCCAGATAGTACAGTAAATGCAATTTGTTTTTAAGCATTAAAACAGCTTATGAAAGTATCAATTGGTATTGAAATGATACTCTATTTTGACGTAAAAATCTATTTTGCAATAAAGCTTTTTTCAAAAGTTATTATACCATTTTTATTATACAGTATCATATAATTGCCCATCCCTATGTATGGGAACACTTCCGGGGTCCTATGGGGACTGTGCATCATGATACTGACCAATTATATTTTTTTGCTATTTTTTATGAAAATGGATAATTGATAAACATTATGGACTGACCAATCATATTTTTTTGCTATTTTTTTACGATAATTAGATAAACATTATAGATACATACTGACCAATACCAATCATATTTTTTTTGGAAATGGATAATTGATAAACATCGCGATAACTGACCAATCATATTTTTTTATGTGAAAAACAAAATCGCGTTATTAACCAATCATATTTTTCACAAAATAAAATTATATTTTCGAATCTCCATAGTTGCAGTTGGTAAACATAATTCTGATAGAATTAATTCGTAATTCTGGTAAACATAATGTCAGTAGAATTACCGTATAGTTCTGAAATTAAGCACCCCTGAAATTAAGCACCACCGACAGTTAGTACCTTCTCCAAAAATAAGCACCCCCATGTTTTATATTAGTTTTGCCTCTCTGGTTTCACATTAATAAATTTAATGTTTTAAAATTGTTCATTGAATTGCTATAAAAGAGTTATCGTATCAGGTTTCTTTAAAATATTAAGCATCTTAATGCGTGCGATCTCATAAGAAACACACAATCCTTTTTTTTCCCCCTGTCCTATAATCCAATCATATAGTCTTTTTTCTGCCCTAGCGTAAAATTCTTTTCGACCAGAACCAACTCGTTTGGTGCTTTGTTTTATCTCAGCTCTCATAGCCTACTTGCTTTAATCCAACAGCCAACTATACTAGGATCAAGCTTAAAGGCTACCACGGCTTTATTTCTCCCATTTTCTTTAGCATAGGCGACAACTTGTTTCTTTTGTTCGAAAAAATATGAATTATGCTTACGTTTTAGTAACTTTCTTTTTTTGTATAATATTTCTATATTTGTTTCGTGGCAACATAATGATAATAATAACGATAACGTCTATTTTGTTTTTAATATTTATAATGATAAATTACATCATATCATTAATCTTATCAAAAAAAAAAGTTACCTGAAATTAAGCACCCTCTATAACAAAAAAAGGGTGCTTAATTTTGGAACTATATGGTAGTTCATAACTCTGGTAAACACAATTTGGCATAGTTTTGGTAGAATTAATTCGTAACTCTGGTAAACATAATCTTGGTAGAATTTAATTCGTAACTCTGGTAGGGTTGTGTTACATAAATTAAAATTTTACATTACACGTAATTTTACGTAAGTTTCAGAAAATTGAATTTCATGTAATTTTCACATGGCATACATGAAATTTCAGATTTACAAAATTATTGCATTATTTGATTTGAATATATGATCCTCCTAAAATGCCGAAAATTTGATCTCAGAAACTAAATGTCATGTGTTCAAAACTACAAATACATGAAATTTCAATTTACCGAATCTTACACAAAATTACGTAAAATTACGTAAAATTACTGAAATTTAACAACCCTACAAGTAGGGATGGAAAATTACCGTAATTTTATGTTATTTTACGAAATTTTGTATAATTTTCTGAAATCAAAATTACATGTAATTTTTATCATATGAATAATTTTTGCAAAAATTTTTATAACTCTTGCATTAAAAATAAATAAAAATTACAATTCCGAACATAATGATGGACATCTATTAGCACTGGCTAAACTTTTGTAATGTAGGTAAAATTATTATGTGACAATGCACTATTCAATGTAAAGTTACATTACAATTTCGAAGTTACAATGTAATTTACATGAAACGTAACAAAGTAATTTATGTCATACATCCCTATCTACAAGTGATTAAAATTATATTTCTATGTAAATCCAATTTACTGAATCTTACGAAAAATTACACAAAATTACATAAAATGATGGTAATTTCACAACCCTAGTTAGGGTTGTAATTTTACGTAATTTTGCGTAATTTTGTGTAGGTTTTGGTAAAACGGTTTTTTGTAACTTTGATAAACATTATTTTGGTAGAATTTAGTTCTTAACTCTGGTAAGCTTAATTTTGGTAGAATTTAATTCATAACTCTGATAAAATTTAGTTCTTAACTCTGGTAAGTATAATGTTGGTAGAATTTAATTCGTAACTCTGGTAAACATAATTTTAGTACGTATCGGTATGGTTGAGGATCTTCGAAATTAAACTCTTGTTGGTTGTTCAATTTTGATTTCCTAAATAAGGGGTCGGTTAAAGGTTTGGTATAAATTTGGAAATGATCTACATGCTGCACAAATTATCTTATTGATACTTATATAAACCACTCACCATTACTGCATCAAAAAAGTAATGCTAACTGCATCAAAAAAGTAACTCTAACGCACCTTGCTTTAGCCATCCCCCTAAATAAGTAACTGGACATGCAACAACTATAACTATGACTATTCAGGGACTAAGTTCGCCGCGTAAACGTATATCTTTTTCTTCTTTTGAACTTGTAAACACTTCTTCGTGAACTGTGACAGTGAAAAATGGTATAAAAACTAGCCTAACAAGGGTCTCTATTTCAAAAAAACTTAATATAAAAGTCTACTAATTCTAATAAAGTCTTCCTCTACACCCTAATTGGTAGACTTCGATCGAGGCGTGGATTGATTTGGTCCGAGAATAGGGTGTTTTACGATACTGCAGTGATCACAGGGACAAGACGAAATACGATAACAACATTACAACCAAAGAAGACTCCTTTTCATAATTTTTTTTAATTTTTAATTTTGTGATTTGATTGGCCAGTTATAACATGACAATACATGAACATTTGTGTAATAGTTAACAGTTTCTCCTGTTCAAACCATCCATTGTTTTAATAACTCCTTTTGTGCTTGGTTTGAATATACTCGAATTTTAATTGATCCTTATTTTTTTGTTTTGTCTCATTGTTTACATTTGTGTTACTAGATTTGTTATATAAATTTCGAATCATAATTTTCTTAATTAAATATGGCTTCCATCATAGATTTTCATCACTTTCGTTTAGATATTATTTCTAAGAAAATATTTCTCTCCTATCTTCTCTCAAAGTACATTTGGAATACTTATAACAGAAATTCTAACCAAATAGAAAATTTTCTTAAAAATGTTATACGAGACTACTTTTCATATTACAAAAATCCTGTTAATTTTGTCTTTTCCGAATATACGTGGATAATTACTAACAATGAAGAACTCAAAGGCCATAATTTTGAAGAAGTTTTGGATTTTTATTCATTCGACAATAGAACTTTTGACAAGATTTTAATTGAATATATAATAAAGATTGATATTAATTTTCAGAATTTTAGAGGTATTAATAATTACGGAGCTGATTGGGAGACTAATTCTACTCTTAGCAACTTCTTAAATATCCTGGAAAATTAAGGTAAATGAAACTTCGATAATTTAAACAAAGATCGCATTTATCAGATAGTTAAAACTAATAATTTATTTAAGCCGGCCGACTTAGAAACACTTTTTTAACAAACTATAATTATAATTGAATATGATATAAATTATTGTGAATTATATGCCTTCAAATCAATAAGGCTATTTTTAGTTATTAAGCATATTTAAATTTATTTACAAGATTAGATCAAGTCTAATTTCAAGCCTGCTAATACTGACAAAAATTCATTTAACAGGTATGTGCTTTCCGAATTCAAAACTCATATATTTAGCCTTTTTGGTTATTAAGTTGACCTTATGTTCAGGTAATGCTTCTTTTGATTCAAGAATTTTTTTGATGACTTTAAACCAATAATCTCTAATCATCTTGAGAATCATTATTACTCTCCACATTGAAAAGACAAGATTTTTGGCTCTAGCTTTTTGAATAGACCTTTCTTCCACATTTACTCCCTTATAATAAGGGATAGTTAATCTTGCTAAAGTAGAACTCCTTATTAGAGGAAGTGCTTGCTGATCACTTATACTTATGATTAGCTCAATTCCTTTTTTTTTTTTTTGAATATTAATGGTGAGACCATGTCTCTGTCTTTATTGAAATTTAATTAAAATCTTTTATACA